GACATCTTCGCTTTGATAAAATGAAATTTATGTTGATAACAAATTACATGGTTACCTCAAGGGGCCAGGGTGTGCAATTAAAATATGTTAATTAACACATTTGGGTTAATAACTGTCTTTAGTAATATGGCCAATACAACAGAACTATAAGCCCCGACCAAATAGATGGATTACTTGAATGACTGAAATTTCCACACAGGAATTAAATTTAATTCCTTACCTTAACGAACGTATTCTCGTTATCAAGAAGTGTTGTGTACATATTTTTAGTCGCCCGTGATTCAAAGTCTGTCCTCTCCTGGATAGAAACGAAAACAAAAAGGACAAAAGAGCCATTATAGTTGCCATTATTCTTATTAACAGATGCTTGGGAGTTCTTGAACTGTTATAGAGCTGCATGTTTAGAAGGCAGCGTGAGATCGATGAATATATGTTTTTTGTCCATGCAGAAGTGAGCTTTGTGTGAGTTAATAATTAAAATGTTACACTGGATATCGTAAATTCTTTTCGAAGTATATATTATCCCAAAGAAATTTCTCCATACTTTGTCTTTCGATACTTTTAGGAAGCCCACATAATTTTGTTACGAAAGGAGGCGATATCTAGGCCCACAAATGAGGTCTTCTTAACGGTTAATTTATTTTCGATCGACTGTTTTAGATGATATTTATTTCAGTTTGGAAGAAATAAGTCAGATGATGTTGCCACTGGAGTGGAAACTTCTTGTAATGAAGTTTTTTGGCAAATAGACGCAAATAATAGCAATTACACTGGATCGATATAAATGAAAGCATGTATACCTGGATATTTCGGACGGATTTTTCATTCAGCCAACTCTGTATTCTGAACGTGTGGTCGGAAGGACAGGCTGATTTTGCGCTGGCAGCTCGCACTTCCGAGTGTTCACCCAAGGACTTCGTTCTCTCAATAGAAGACGCCGAGACTGCCCGTCTGTGGTGATCCTGCGAAAAATACAACCTCGAAGATTAGAAGAAGTTGTAGCTTAACAAGTTAAAACAAGGCCCATTTTAACTGGCACCAATTGAATTATACAGTTAACACATTCAAACACTGATAAATTATTTCACCTTCGCGATCTCATGTCGATCGTTGTCGTCCAGAAGTTCACCCACAACATCAAAAGTGTGAACAGAAATACGGCCGTTTATGGGACGCTTTGGCCGTGACATCCCCGTGCTTATTTTCTGCTATGTTTAGATGACTTTCTGTCCTTATTCAGATCTTCCTTTCACAAACAGAACACGATCAATAACGGAGTTACCAGCAAGTCACAAATATTGCGGCTTGACTCAAAAGACTTCACGTGTAAATTAAGAATCGTCCCCTTGGCAACGTATCAGCTGTGTTTATAAACTTTCTTTTATCCCAGGGGTGGGTGAGTACAATTGAAAAACCTGAACTGCTTCGAGTTTGCTAGCTTTTAAAAACGAGCAAAATATTAAAGAATTTAGTTTTTTACTTGATACTTGAGAACTATTGACAAACTTTTCGTTTAATTTTGTTAGATATTTTTTGCTGTTGTTTTGCGGTTGAATATTCACGCGGTTCTCCCTACGCTACCCCCGTCAGTACTGTTTACCCAATTTACAGAAGAGGGAAAGCTTGGGGAGTGAGTACAAAAAAGTTCCAAGACTTCAAAGCTGTTTTCTCCTTTCAAAATGTAAAAAAGACCAATATCTTGTGTGATTATGTTGTAACACTGACTCCATTCAAGAATGAATCAACTTCAAAGCCTTCTTCACGACTCTTTGATTGCAACGGGACACATCCAGCACTGCGCCATCATTCGACGGAAAGACACTTCTCTCCGGGCTAGCACGGTTGGATTTTCGGTAAGGCTAACACACTAGTAACTTAGGGAATATGTCAAATATAAATAAGATTTGTTTCTATTGCATGTGTCTCCTATCTGGAAAGAAGCTCAAGTGAAACCTTTTGATAACAGCGCCGCCATTTTCTTTCATTCATGATTTGTGTTTCTCAAACTTTATGTTTGAGTTTTGTTCCTGGTGTACATTGAGTAAGCTTCGTTTCTCGAGAACTGAAAGCCTCAACATCCTTCAGTCTTCTCTGTGATTATCATAATATATTTGCCTGCTAAACAAGCAATTAAAAAAAAATAGCAATAATATGGAGGCAAAGGAATCTAACTTCCCGCCAACTTCAAATTGTATACGGGAGGGGTGGGGGATCGGATGCCTTATACAGAATTTTGTACATTTGAACCTCCTCTAACGGACACAAACTGTCTCAGTTCGGGTGGAGCCTCCTCGAATAGTCCATTATAGGGAGTAACCCCTCCCCCGCCACGGGGATTGATAGCCAGCTTGAATGTCTGCAAAGGGGTAGGGGTAGGAAAAGTGAGTAACATTTATTTTACCATTCTTACCAATCCCAAACTTGTAAATGAGTTGCTCGTAAACTATCTTCTTGATAATTCTTAGACTTAATTATTCTACAACCATATACGAAGCTGGCATCAGTCTGTGTGCCATGCTTGGGTAATCATGCGGGCAGGCTTGCATTTGGGGTGAAAGTCGCAAGAATAATTATGATGTGTATTGTATGTAACTGCTGTTTTTTATTTATTTATTGATCAGTGATAATTTATTGTGATGTTTCATCTTGCCAGCCCTCTTTGGACAATATACACGCCTTGGTTCATTCCTTTACAAACAGTGCACATGCCAGAAGAGAGGGTCTCAAGTTCCAGGACACCGTTTATGAATGTGTCAGAGCAGACAGATTCTCTGTTTATGCCAAGCATGTAAGTGTAAGGAAATAATATTATTTGAATTTAAGGATAATATTATAATAAATTATTATTATGATCTGGAGGAAGACAGTGGAAGTAGAGAAATGGAGCAACTTAAGCACTGCAAGAGTAGTAGCCAGGGACAGGGGGATGCGTGGACAATAATGAATATAATAATGAATATTATACTGAGATCACTAACAGAGATGATGACCACTACGAAGATGACCTTATTTGATGAGGGTGGACATACCGTATTTCTTTGAATAAGCGCCCTCCCCCGAATAAGTGCCCACCCCCTCGGCCAAAATAGCAAATAAGCGTCCCCCTCGAATAAGCGCCCCCTCCCCTCCCCCTCACTTTCTTAAATAGTAAGGATATCACAACATGCCGAGATGATCGTTTTTGGATGCATACCAGCTCGGACGCTGGGCAATTTTTCTCTTTCACTTTTAATTCAATTGGCCTCAAATTTTGCACCATAATAGATCATGCTATTTTTAGTAACAAAATGGCGGTAAATCCAAAATAAAGTTACAGTTTGTTGAAAGAAAAACTTAATAAGTGCCCCCCTCGATTAAGCGCCTTCCCTTTTGACCAAATTCGAGGAAATACGGTATGTAAAACTGATGGCCCGATCTGGTATTAATGAAGAGTGAGTGGCCTTGCTAGAGGTCACACAGATCAGCATAGGCCTTGGATAGTCAACCCTGTCTGAGTTTATGCTAAATCTGAGATAATGTCAATGTCGTGATTCCATTTTTTTTTCTGCGTGAAGGAAAACAGTGGAATTATCCTGGTGCGGACAGCTACATTATTGTTGGTGGCCACTTATACTCCAGAAATGAGCCCAAGTATTTGCGTGGAAGCTGTTGAGAAACTGGGTCAGTTTACTTTTTGTATATGAATTCTTTACCGTGTTCAAGATAAGAAAGGGGTCTCAAGTCAAAAACCCGACAAGGTTGGCTACACTTGCGTGTGACAAATAATTATTTTAATGGGAAACTTCTGACAATTGGGTGAGGCCCATATGTATTGACCTGTTGCAATTCCTCATGTAACACTTAAAATGTATCTGGAACACTGCTTTAATTTCTGAAACAACCTAAAAGATTATTACTCAGATCAGTTATCTGACCATAATTATTTTGTTTTTTCCATTGCAGCTGACTATTTCAGGGAAAAAGGAAAGTGAAATATCAAAGACCAGGAACTCTAATATAATTTAGTGAAATGGAAATACCGTATTTTGGAAATATTATTTTATAAATAAATCAGCGGCCATGGATCAGTTGAATCAAAGGCTGTTGGTTGCAATCCAGTCAGGAATTAACAATGATCATCATTGCAAGTTAGCTCAAGTTCCATGTAATGTCGTGTTCTTTGTGAGATTTACAGGATAGAATGTCCATTGTATTAGCAGATTCTGCTTTGCCTTCCGACGCTACGGTAACGACACATCCTTTGATTGATGTAGTCGGCAAATTTTGGTGCAACTCGCTCCTAGTTATGGGAGTGAAGCTGTGATTGGCTTAACTGTAGAAAAGAATGCGGTTCGGGTTTAAGCAGCCGTTAGCAGGGAGATTCAAGCATTGCCTGATGACACAAATAATGGCTGCAACGGAGACTAACTGAGATATGCAATGGAAATTGGAAATTTATTTAGTGTAGCACAACTTGACCAAGAAAATATTTATTTTTTTTACAATATTATTGATATTAACATTAAAATTCTTGTAACCTAGCCTAAGGTTTATTTATGTTCACACAATTCCTTGATGAACCGAATTACAAAGTTAACTTATCTGCTTATTGTAACTATATCTGATGCCAATAAAAAAGATTAATATTTCAGTGCAAAATATTACAGATTGAAAATAATACAGTAAACTATAATACTCTGTAAAATTCTGACAATAATTCCCTGGGCTTAGTTTTGTTCTAAAGGTTTTTTTGTGGGCTTATTAGGCAGATTTAGCAATGACGACGGGGACGTCACTTGAGGACGTGAGAGCGCGCAGAATAGTCTGGACCCGACTTTATTTTGACTTCCGGTGCTCCCGTTGCCGTCCTGTGGCCAAGTTCAAGACGCCATTTTGGTGGTTTTCACATTGTGACCAGAACGCCACATATTTGCTGTCATTTTGCGGCATTTTTCGCTGCGCACGCCGTCGTCGAAAAGCCCCCGTCGTCATTGCTAAATCTGTCTACTGATTGTCAGGGAGGTACGGTGGCATATTGGTTAGCGCGTTGGATTCTGGATCGAGCAGTTCAGGTTCAAGCACTGGCTGGGGTCGTTGTACATGTGTTGTGTTCTTGGGCAAGATACTTTACTCTCACATTACCCCTCTCCACCTGGGAGTATAAATGTGTACCGGTGACAATATGCTGTGGGAGGGGGGGGGGGGGGGGGGGGGGTAACCTGTGATGCTGTAGCATCCCATCCAGAGGGAGTAACATTCTTCTTGTCGCTTTGTGCTATTAATAGAAACCGGGATAAGCTCCGGCAGTGCTGGTCCACTAGGCTCGTGACGACTTCACCCATTGATTGTCGTGGGTGGGGGGGGGATATATTTTATTGGAAGGATAGTTCCATCTGAGATTGAGATTTGGGGGGCATATTATCAGAGTTTTACAGTATAATGGTTACACAGCCCTTGAAAAGATTACCAGCGCTCAATAATTATTGTTAGACAAAAAAAGTATTAAATTTTTTATCAATGAAAATATTATGACTCTGTTTGCACAAGTCTACAATATGCCTCCTGTAGATTTCCCTCCCCCTTTACTACAATATATGGTAAAATATATTTCACTGTAATGTAACATGAATGGAAAATTTTCAAGCCACTTAAAACAGTGAAGTGAAGAATATAAGTCAGAATAATATAGCTTTATAACACAATACCACTAGCATACCAAATGCACTCAAAACATAATTACAAAAAATGATTTACCAAACCATGCCAACAACATACTGCGAAATAAAATTAGTTTTGAACAAATTTGTGAAATTGTCACTGTTACAAATGAATTTGAAACAACCTTTCAAACAGTCCATGCCAGGTACAGCTCCGTGAATCAACTCACAAACTGTGATAACTCTTGTTTCTACTCTGCCACCACTTGAATGCAAAAATAAGGATCACTGTTATAACAATGCCCAAAATTATTCCTCCAAAAAATGAGGCGCTATCAAATTGTCTCCCTGTTGACGCAGTAGTAGGTTGCACCACAGGAACCTGCGTCGGTGCTCCAGTAGTTGCTGTGCTTGTTGCAGGAGTGACTGGTTCTGACTTGGTTGGTGATATTACAATGGCTGTGGTAGTTATACTGGGTGAAACAGATGTAGAAGAATTACTGATGGGTGAAGGAGTTACTGTATTGGCTCCACTTGCATCTGAAACAACTAAAAATAATCAAATTATTCTCTACATGTATATGTAATAATAAATAATAATAATAAATTAAGTACGGTAATAAAAAAGGGTAATTTTCCACTGGCTGAGTGAAACGAAAAAAGTGGAAAATGTTTTTCTCACACACCGCTGGGGCCTGGGTATAAGTCATGTGACTGGTGAGGCGGGCAGTTGTTTTTGTTGCGTCCGCCATTACTGACCTTCCCACCCAAAGAATTTCAGTAGTATTTTGTTGTATTTTTTAATTTCGGCGTTATACAATGTAACTAATGTACAAAGCTTGTAATTTTGGAAGCTTCCCAGTTTTAGCGTGATATGTGTATAGTTTTTGATTTTACAATAAAGGTCAGGCTTGCGGCGGTCGGCTTGACATGGCTACCAGTGGTGTGTGAGAAATTATTATTATGAGACTCATTGGGTATTCCAGACGAAATCGAAGTCGCGACGATTACCATTATATTAAACAACGATATTGATCTCCGAGATTGAAAAGACGATTTAAAAAGATTTATCGTGGTCGGACAGAAAATATTAATGCGTGAAATGTTGTAAAAGTATTATTTGTTTACCAATTCAGGCACTGAAAAAATTACTGACAAAAAAACGAAAATTTTGTTTAAAAAAAATTGATGATTTGTTCAAAAAGGGCGACAAAATCAAAGTCTGCAGGTACCCAGAGAGACTGCTCAATTATTTACCAAGATATTTCCTTGATTAACCCCTAGCTTCAATGCCACGCCTACCATGGGGGGGGGGGGGGGGGGGTATGTTTTAAATGTGATTCTATGGGGCTGCTTATTCTAGGAGGGCATTTCATTTGGTAAGGGTGCTTATTTTACAGCAAGGCACCTAAAAGTGTGACCACTTTTAATTACTTCACATTATTTTGTGCACGCAGACTACCCAATCAGAAGCCGAAGAATAGATATCCTTAACTTCTGATTGGATAGTACATGTGAACAAAAGAATGTAAATTAATTAAAAGTGGTCACACTTTTAGGTGTCTTACTGTAATATGTGGTTTTCTCACTTGTGGTTTCATGTGGTAACAAAACAAATACAGTGGAACCCCGTTAATACGACCAACGTTGGGCCATGAAATTGTGGTCGTATTAACGGGGTGGTCGTATTACTTTAATGGGGTAGGGTCAAACTACACCCTTCTAAATAATGCCATAACTATACCTTTAATTCCACTATAAATGAACCTTTTTTACACGCTAATCACTAACAACTTTGACGGATAACATTCACTAAAATGCGATATTGTTTGTCAGATTGTGTCTATTTTCATTCAGCAGTCTCACCAGGCATTTTGACTGGTCATATTAACGGGGTAATTTTATAAAGAAAATAACGATTGGGGACTCCAAAAGTTGGCCGTTGGTCGTAATAACGGGGTTTTCAGATAAGAAAATGAGTGATAAAAAAATGGTCGTAATAACGAGGTGGTCGTATTACGGGGTGGTCGTATGGCGGGTTCCACTGTAAGCTTAATTCATTTTAAGCTTTATATATAATCTGGTATAGCTGACATCAAAACTACATAATAAGTAAATGGTAATAGCGGTTATTACAGATGTCAGCGGTTTGTCATGCAAACAAGGCGAAAGGGTCAATCTGGCATTGTATTGGCCCATTAGCCTCATTTGTAGGCTCAGATTACCAGCTGCTGTTCGGGAAAATGAGCCAGAACGAAGACTGGACTTGATAGAGCGGCGGAAATCGAGCCTAACTCGTTTGCATACTTTTTAAAAACAAAAGAATATTTGACCGCAAGCTCAACTGCAATAACAGCTATTGAACCGAGTGGAGTACAATTCAGGGTGTAATCAGGCGAGTAATTTCGAAATGCGCACGAGGCCGATTTCGAAATTACGAGCACGATTGCCCATGAATTGTATGACACAAGGTCCAATTACCAATTAATCGTATCAATAACAAAAGTCGAGGTTAGAAAGTCTGAGAGAAACTCTTTTTAGTGAAAATGTCAGCGATTTATTCAATCAGTTTTACAAACAGTACGGAGACAGCAAGAAAGAACCCATTTAATGCACGTAATAGATGCGTGGATGGAGTAGGTGTCCAATTACAGGTATCCAATTTGTAATTGGACACCCACGTGATCGCGCTCCAATTACATAGCAAATAGGCGTGCGGGGAACCAATCAGAAACGAGAATTTTGTTATTGATACGATTACTATAATAATTTACGAGGTTGGACATGCACTCCAGCACTAATGAATGCACACACTTGTATATGTTTAATTAAATATATTAATTTTCAATTACCGGTACAGGAGGTACAGTTGTGTATTCATTAAAAATACACAACATGTAAGCTTATATACTAGGCGTAATCACAGATTATTAAAGTGCGTTCGACAATAAATATAAGTTAAGGACGGTGGGCTTTCGAGTTGCAGACAGAAACGTTAAGAGTTTTTTTTTGCTTATAAAATATGGGCTAGAAAACTAATAATATCATTGATAGTGATGGCCTGGAAGATAGCCATCCCAATAAATATTCACCACTAATGATGTTTCTTAGCTTATTAAAATGATAGTTTAGTTAACGCGTATTTCCTCTACAAAAGCAATTTTAATTAAGGTTAACAAAACCAATATAATTTAAACACTTGCTTTGCATGTCATGATCAGGTGTACGTGTATATTGATTCTGTTAGCTATTTATGTTTCAAGCAAGCCAAAGCAGGTATACATAACATATATTGTATTAATACCCATTTTGTTTGCTTGTACGTATAAATAATCTTTCATATCTCTGCGTTAAATTTTAAATTTAAGCTTATTCAAAGGACTTTTAATAAGCTTACGGAGTTTATTCCGGTTTATTTCATTTTCAGTCCCTTCGGGAATATTTTGTAAAACGTTTCGACAATGCTGCTTTCAGCGGGCCTTGATGTCCTAATTTTGACGATGGAATGCTTCGACAAAACGTCGTACAAATCGACAAAGCAATAAAATCTAGACCTGATTCGAAAAGACGCTCGACGCTCGTGAGTTTACACAGTACGTTACACACTACTAGCTGTACAGTAAGCTGACTGTACACCACGAGGCAATCACGTTACATACAGATTCTTACCTGTCAGAGACATCAAATAAACAATCACTAACAATCCCAACACACTCATCTCGCTTTGCAATCCACTAAAAATCGTCATTCTTGCCATCACGGTATCTCGTCTTTACGGAATGACAAACTGCAACGATCGAAGCCGTAACTAAATCTCCACTTAGGGGTGGGGGCAATATCGTCCCGACACACTCGACCCAGCGGGTGAAAGTAAAAAGAATCAAAATCATGCTTTCCTTAAAATATTAATTTGCTTAATTTAATTTATCTTGCTCTTCTATTCCAATCATGGTAATTTGGCCTTTACAAAATAGTTCATGAACGTAATATTAAACTTGTTCCGAGTCCAAAGGGTTAAAAATTGACCATGACCCCCTCCCCAGAAAGGAGTTAATTGACGTTGCCACGTATGCCGAAAGTGTCCAGTTGTCAGATCAGGCCGAAACCGCTTATCAAAATTGGTTTTCTCAGAAACAGGCTCAGGTAATGCTTGGACATGGTGGGGAGGGAGGGGCATATATTTTTGTAAATCAATTCAAGTCACCCTCAGGTAAAAACAGGGCCAACATATAACTGAAACAAATCTTCATTGTGTTAATTTTTGTTCTCACAGGCTTTTTGCATGAACCTGCCACAGTGGTACAAAATACACCATGCTGGATGGCAAAAGAAAGAGACCACTCGCAATCTGCATTCCCCTCATACATGGGTTTCAACCAATGATAATTTTTTAAATCTATTTTTAAATTTCAGTCCACTAAACTGAGCTATTTTAAG